CACTAGCAGCAAAATCACTAGGGAGTTTGATGCGCTTTAAAACCCAAGAAAGCGAATGGTTGTATGTGAAAAATAATGAGATATGGAGAATAGAAGGGGATGATGATAATGATGACGACGGAGATGGAATTGTAAGAGTACTGAGGCTAAGCTATGATCATTTGCCGTCCAAATTGAAGCAGTGCTTTGCCTATTGCGCAATATTTCCCAAGGATCATGAAATAGAAAAGGAGACCCTCATCCAATTATGGATGGCACAGGGGTTCATTGGAGGGAGTAGTAGTAGCCTGGAGGAAATAGGTGAGGAGTATTTCAACGATCTRYTGTGGAGAWGCATGTTTCAGGAAGCAAAAGAAGATGAAGAGGGAAACATAGTAAGTTGCAAAATGCACGACCTCGTGCATGACCTTGCTCAATCAGTCGCAGGGGCCGAGTATTTTCGGATGATCGAGGCCAGGGATGAAGAGGTGGCTCAACCACCTACTATAACTATTCCGGAAGGAGTTCGACACGTGGCACTTCTTGACCCTGGAAGATATAAAAGGACTAACGGCATTGAATTCTGGTCACAATTGAAACTTTCTAATAAGGTGCCGACTCTACTCTCGCCCCGTAAAAGTTATTATGGGATGAGATTGGCAATTTTATTCTGGTCACAATTGAAACTTTCTAATAAGGTGCGAACTCTTCTACTCTTGCCCCCTAATTATTATTTTGGGATGAGATTGCCAATTGAAAGAATAATGAGCTGTGCTTGCTTACGTGTGTTACACTTACACCTTTCATTTATTGAGAGATTGAAAATAAGTAGCATAGGTGAATTGAAGCACTTAAGGTACCTTCACCTCTCTCTTGCTCCGCTTATTGAGACACTCCCTGCATCAATTACTAAGCTCCAAAATTTGCAGACCATGAAACTTATAAATTGTTCTAGTCTTGAAAATTTGCCAAAAGATACTGGAAATATGAAGAGCCTAAGACATGTTGACCTCTCTGGGAACGAGGAAATCAAAGCACTCCCTGCTTCTATTACAAAACTAGAGAATTTGCACACTCTAAATCTTGATAGTTGTGGTCCATTTGAAAATTTGCCGGACAATTTGGGAAGATTGAGAAAGCTTAGGATAATCAATTTGACAATAACAGCAGGGGAACATGTCATGAGGGAGTTGCATGGCCTGAACCTAAGTGGTGATTTAACTATTGAGGGAGTTGAACAAGTGAGAGATGGCAAGGAAGCAAACTTGAAGGAGAAGCCACACCTTCGATCCTTGACATTAGAATATGGAGGGGAAGGGAATAATGATGATGATGCGTTGGAAGGACTGCGGCCACATCCAAGTCTGAAGGAGTTGAAGCTAAAAGGGTATGGAGGGATGAAATTTGCTTCTTGGATGATTAAATCCTCGTTGCTCCCAAATCTAGTGAGAATTCAGTTACGGGATTGTCCAAGATGCGAATCTCTAGAGTTCTCAGGTCCACTCCCTTCCCTTGAGTATCTTAGTCTATCTGAATTGATATCCCTCAAGAGCATTACAAGTAAATTGAGAAAAGGAGAAGGATTCTTCCCATCCTTAAAAGAACTCTACCTCTTCCACCTGCCTAAATTGGAGAGTTGGTCAGTAGTAATGGMAATATTAGACGGTGATCAGGAAGTAGTGGTAGTAGAAGAAGAAGAGCCACATAACTCATTATCACTGTTCCCTCACCTTCCCAATCGCTGGATCATAGAGGGTTGTCCTAAATTGGAAAGTATTCCTTGGGGTTGGCCGGCACGTGAAAGAGTGGATTTATGTTTGATTGATGCCAAGGCATTGGAGTTAGTTCTGAAGAAAAAGACGAAGAAGGATAAAACCCCCATCCCATTAATGTTGACATCATCATCATCATCATCAACTACAAACTCATCATCCTCTTCTTCTTCTTCTTCTTTTCAACACTTCCTTCCCACCACTCATGTAACCACCACATCCTTGCAAATTCACCGTTGCTATGACTTACAGTCTTTTCCTTCGGAGGCGATGGAAGGCTTGACTTCTATCCGATTTTTACATATTTCATCTTGTCATCAATTGACATCATTGCATCCTCAAGCAGTGAAGCAAT